GACAAATGGGTTTATAGTAAACTAATACCTTCTTTACAGCAGAACAATCAACAGAGTGATACAACAACCTACAAATGGAAGAAAATATTTGTAAACCACACATCTGACAAGGGGTTAATATACAGAATATATAAGGAACTCCCAAAACTCCACAGGAATGAAACAAATAACCCAATTAAAAATTGGCAATAGATCTAAATAGATATTTCTTGAAATAATGTATACAAATGGTCAATAGGTATAAAAAATGCTCAATATCACTAATCATCAGAGAGATGGAAATTAAAACCATGATGAAATACTGTTGCACCTCAGTAAGAATGGCTTTTATCACAAAACACAAGGCAGCAACTTCTGATGAGGAGATGGAAAAGGGAACCTTTGCAAACTACTAATGCAAATTAATATAGCCACTATGGAAAATACTATAGTATGGGAGATCCTCAAAAAATTAAACTACCATATGATCCAACAATTCCACTCTGGGGTATATATTCAAAGGAAATGAAATCAGAAGATTGAAAAGACAACTGAATTCCCATGTTCAATGCAGTACTATTCCCAACAGCCAAGAAATGGGCAAAAAACCAAGGTCTCCATCAACTGATGAGTGGATAAAGAAAATGTGGTACATATATATAATGGAATACTATTTAGCCATAAAAATGAAATCCTGAAAAATGAAAAATGAAATTTCCAAGAGCACAGATAGAGTTAGAGATCATTATGCTGAGTGAAATATGTCAGGCACAGAAAGGTAAATACCACATGATCTCACTCATATGTGAAATATAAAAAGATGGATCTCATAAAAGTTAAGAGCATAGCGTGTGACCGATGTGGTGGTTACTAGAGGCTGGGGAGAATATGAGTGTTGAGAGAGATGGGGTACCAAGTTACAGTTAGATGGGAGAAAAGTTCTGGTGTGCTATGGCATAGCAGGATAACTACAGATAATGTTAACAATACCGTATCTTTCAAACAGCTAGAAGGAAGGATTTTGAATGCTTTCACGTTAAAGAAATGATAAATGTTTGGGGAGATAGATAGGTGGTAAATAACAAATGCATGTATCAAAACATCACATTATCCCTTAACTATGTATAATTGTTTTTAAGTATTAGGTAGAATAAATTTAATAAATAAATAATATAGCCTTAAAACAAAAGAATAAAAAAGTCACTCATATAAAAATTGGAATATAATCTAAGGATTTTTATGTAGGTCACATTTTAATCTGGGAATTTTCTTAATCATAACAATATCAGTCTTTAGGATTCCTACAAACAGCAAATATTACAAAAAGCAGATATTGTTTTATGCCTTTACTGGAAGATTGAAATTGTGATCAGTGGTGGAAAATATGTATAAACCTAAGTTATGAATACTCAGTGCTAAATGTGACCATATTCAACTTGCACTGAAAGATTTGCTGTTAAAACAGATCCTGAACATAAAGGTATTCTAGAGGAGGGAGTGGCAGATAGACTTAGTTCGGGTTGGAGAGAATGACAGAATCAGAAAACAATACACATACTGACAAAAGAGAACCAGAGAGACCACCAGAGAAGGTCAAGCCTGGTCAATCCAAGTCCTCCCTGGGACAGTTTCTGGAGCATTTGGCAACAACATTCTTTTTCTCTGGAATCAAATCATCCTGGGACAAAAGGCGGTCAAAAATATCATAGGGAAAGTGCTTATCTGAGATTAAAAGCAATAGAGAAAGCGCCAAGAGATAAAGAAAGGGAGAGAGACAGGTGAGTAAGCAGGCCTGTGACCTGATGGTATCTTCTAAATATCTGGATTCAGCCACACCTGAAGGCCTTTCATTTATCAGCTTCATGAGTCAATGCAGTCATTTCATTTTGGTTAGTCTGTAGCTTTCAACTGAAAGAAGCCTATGGGGGACAAGTGCAGCAGAGGTTGAGGGAGAAAATACCCAAAGGACATGGAACAGGAATGAAGGACTGCAGTAGCACAAAAATGAGAGAAATGTCTTGTGTAGTTAGCATCTAGAAGAAGTGGGAAGGCCCCTTTACATGTAAAGAAGATGGAGTGACATTTAGGTAAACCCTAAAAGATATCTTAAAATTACCTTTGAACGTATCATCACTTCTCATTCTCTGACAATGTATGACCAACCATTCTCTTTTTCAACTGGCAGAGAATTCTGCTCTGTACTCTTTGAAGGAAGATTCTACTATGAAAATAACTTTCTGCAAATGTTCTCTAGTCCATTACAGTATAGCTTCTTTAGTTTAATAAAGGATGGCATTTACAATACCAATTAGCAAACAGGACATGCAACAAGAAATAAACCTGAGGGGCCGGGGATTTAGCTCAGTGGTTTCGCCGCCTGCTGCACAAGCGCAAGGACCCAAGTTCGATCCCCGGTACCAAAAAAAGAGAAATAAACCTGAAATCTTCTTGTCTTTCCTCCCATCCTATGTGTCCATGAGTGCTGAACAAAAAGCCGCTATTTTTTTCATAATAACTAGGATCCAGACTTAGCAATGCTTTAGCTGTAGTAATTATTTGGTTTGCTTTTCAAAAGAATACTAAAGAGCTGTCCCTTCTCCCTTTGTAGAGTCACACTGACGTGGAACAATCAAAGTAACTCATAATCAGAGGATCCCCTATTTTGTTCAAATTGTAAATATCAATGGGCATCTGTCCTCGGGGTTCACAGAGTAGGCAAGTGTGGTTGAACCAGGCTGGCTGTTGCAGGATTAGCCAGGGTCCCTCAATGTTCTGTTTTAGCAAAACTCCAGAAATTGTGATTATAGTTCACTTGGGTTTTGTACTGATCATCAAAATGCTGACAGTCACTTAAATCACTCACTGGGTGGAATAATCACCCTGAAGAAACTGAGAGGGTGCAACATATGATAAAATGGAGCTAAGCACATAAGACAGAGTGTTAACAGGCATGATAGAAGAGATCTGTGTCAGAATAACAGAAATGATTAAAGACGTGAATTAGACATCCTCTCTACTGGATATTCTTAATGACATGAACACAATAGCTAAATGTCCAGTTGCAAAGTTAAGCATAACTTAGGGAGCATCTTCTGTTGATGCCAAGTTAGCCTGTCTGAGTCACTCAATGGCTTGCTATAGAGGCTATGAACCATCTCACCTTGTAGAGCCCTTTGTGAAAGGACAAGAGCAGAAATCTGGAATGCTGTGCCATTTGAAATAAGAGACTGTGTTATTAAATATGAAATATTTCTGGCCCACAACACGAGAGGACCCATTCTAAAAATCACTGAGAAACTGGCCCAAACACTAGCAGGAGACAAAGAAAACCAGGAATCTGGTCTCTTTTCAGAGTCATTCATTTTGTAATTAACAAAGAGAAAATTAGCTTGTTCTGACTTTTTTTGGGGGGTGTGGATTAGGTTTAAGAGACAAAATGGGTACTTTCAATTACTGTTTGCGATAGAATTGCACGCTATTATGGGATTATAAAAGTTGGAGGGGTCTTTCCAGGATACTTCTGAATGCAGTTTGCTCAAATATAATACTATGACCAAACTACCCTTACTAAGTACATACATTTCCTACTCTTACAGATTTCTGAGAATACATGTGAATAATTTTATCATCAGATAAACATATTTTAAGTCAAATGTATAAAAATAAAAGCACAGCCAGGTAGGACGGTGCACACTTGTAATCCCAGTTACTTGGTAAACTGAGGCAGAAGGATGGCATGCTCAAGGTTGGCCTAGATCATTTAGCAAGATCCTGCCTCAAAATAAAAAAAATAAAAAGTATCAGAGATATAGCTCAGTGGTATAACACTCTTAGGTTCTGTCCCCAGAAATACAAAATAAAATGAAAATTAAAAAATAAAATATAAGTGAAAAGTATTTTATGAAGATTTATAAAGCAGATTATCTTCCCATTTTTTCAGTCCCTTCTTCCCACGACACGCTGGTCTTCCAGATGGGGATACAATCAGACTGAGATTGTATATGTAGTAAGCATTCAAGGGATGTGTTGAATCTGGGTATGGGGCCTATATTTCACAAAATAATTTACACCTGTGAATTTTAGTCACTCTTCCTTCTCTAGGCTGGAATCATTGTTAATCAAATAATAACAACTTCTCAAAGAACAGTGGTAATAAATAACTCATTCTGAAGTTCAAATAGCATAAGCATTTTCTTTCTTGTAATCATCTGACAATTAATCCTAATAGGAAATTCAGCGCTGATTTTGCTGTTTTCTTCTTCCTGCTGATGATCTGCTTTTTACTATCCTGTTTCCATCTCTCTATTCATGTATCTAAATCAGACTTTTCTTTTATTCCTTCTTCATGTCAGTTTTTCTTAGCTTTTGTTTTAACAATATCATAAATATTCCCAAAGTAATGCTTTCAAAAAAGTTATTTATCTTATAGTCATTAAAGCTTACATGCATTAGTTTTAAAATTATTTTTGAGTCATTGGTCCTTTATAGAAAAAGAAGTTTCCCACTCTTGTTTCATAACCTACTCCTTAATATCCTTGAAATCTTTGTTACCTCTCAGCAATCTCTTTTCCAGAATAATTGTTGTCCTCATTACCTTCATTTTCTAGCACCTTAATCACTTCTATTATTCTCTTTTTAGACACTTTTTATTAGCTCTGTATCAAGTTAAAATGAGAACATAGCTGTTCACTCAGCCCTGAGCTGAAACACTGCTGCCCTTCAGCAGTTCTCGTGCCTTCTGCTCTTGAGGCAAAGTGGTTTGATCTGACGCAATTTTATGTTGCTAAGATTTAGCATCAAGCTATGTTAACATGAGCTTTCCTGGCTCCCCACACACCACACAGGGGAAACAGATTAGTCCCTTCCCCAGAACCTGAAGTAGGAGATAAGCAACAGGAACCTTCTGACAACCTGGGACATGCGCACATATGGTGACAGGTGCATGCACACACATTTCAAATGAAGGCACTCAGACAAGTTCCTCAATCATCTCTATAATTGGTGTTTTACTAGAAACTTACTCTGAGATGTAGAAAGATTAGAGAAAGCTGACTTCGTTCGGCCTGCCAACCATTCTAAGCTTTCATGCATGTTAGCCAAGGCTTTGAGGTCACTGACGTCACGGAGGATGTCTTGTGGAGGGATTAATTTATCACCCAGGTTCCCAATTAGAACTTCAGATTCCTTGCCAAAGGCTGCCCTGAAAAAAAATCAGATACATACTTCACTTACAGCATGACAAAGGGAGGGCAACACTTTTTAGGGCGTGCCTAACACAATGATGACTATAATCACTATTTCATTGCACACTCTTTACCCTAGGTTTAACTTTACTAGAAAACTGTTACATGCCTGCTTAAAACTGTTCTGGTAGGGGAAAGAGTTTTTTTGAAAGAAGAAAGAACTGACCCCAATGGTGTACCATCAGCAGGAATCAGTATGGGCTTGAATGATACAGTGACAGTCCCCAGGGTTGGCTTCTATGCTGCTTTCTTTTCTGGTTTCTTCTCCAGCTATGGAAACTGATGAAGGTAGGGTGGCAAATATGTACATTGTTTGCAGGTTATTGTAATAAAATGAAACAACCAAGTTAATCTGGTGGCTAGAAAATATTGTAAAATAGTCAAAAACAGAGAGTACCCTGCCTTTTTAAGAGATCATCTTATAGCTGAGATAGATGAAAAGTTTCATTCATTTACTTTTTTTAGAAAAGATCGGAGACATACTACAAGCCTTAAGGTATTCATCATTTGGAAAAAGAAAGCAATAAAAATCAATGCTAAGATTCTTTTGCTAACTGGAAAAATATAATCAGGTGGGTTTCACAGAGTCTAGTGTCTTCCAAATGTTTTTAGGGGTTGAAAAGTCAAGTCACATGGAGTTATAAAGGACAAAGTTGGAAGGGACTCTGGAGAACACATGGCACAGCTACTGTGGAGATGAAGGAATAGAGGCTGGGAAGTGAAATGCTTCTGTCCACACTACACAAGTGGGAGGGCTGGGGCTCATGTTGCCCAGTTTCATCAGGTCTCTTTCAAAAAGAGATAGGGCTCAAATGAGAACTGGTAACTGAGGATGGCAGATAGAAAGATCATGTCTTTTCAGGAAAGTTACACATGGTAGGCAGCAGATGCTGGAGGAAGATACAATAGGCACCTGGAGTTTTCGCGGGGTTTTTAAATCTCAAAACACCTTAAGTGAAAAGATAGACAAAGGCTTTAAGTAGAACAGCTCAAATTGAGTTTCAAGCAAGCAGTGACTATTAACAGGTGAAATATAGTCAGAAAGATGCTTAATTGACAGACTGGCACTCAATACCCACGACTACAGCAGATGCTCAGTGTCGAGAAAAATTACTGCTATGAATTAAATGCTTATTAAAAGTATTTCTGTCATCAAGTAGTAACTCATGATTAACCTTATTTCAAGAGTTACCTTTTTATTTTTTAAATATTGTTTTTAAATGTTTATTTTTATTACTACATGTCTGCAGTATGTAATGACTGCATTCACTGTGAGGAGTTGGCACATGTACATAACACATCTTCATTCCTTCTTCACCCTCCCCCCTCCTTTGCAGGGCACTATTATGGAGGCAATCAAGTGTAGCAGACTGCACACATGAAACTGGTGCCAACAGATCTCATCTATGCTCTTGCACAAGATCTTGGAGGACCCAATGCTGCATTTGTAACTAATTTCCAGATGAGATAATGCTATTTTCTTTGACTAGCAAGGGTCAGAGCACAGGTTTCAAAGTGAGGAAAATCTGGGTTTGAATCCTGAATCTGTCATTTACTGTGGGATGCTTTTTAACATGTGGGATGTCTGGGGGTTAGTACTGATGAAATAATGCAAGGATCAGATGATTAAAAAAATTTTTTATTGGGGGCCAGGGATTTAGCTCTGTGGCACCATGCCTGCCTTGCAAGCACAAGGTCCTGAGTTTGATCCCTGGTACCAGAAAAAAAAAAAAAACCTTTTCATGGGAAAACTTCATAATAATAAAAATGGTTAAGAGTATAACAAATCTCTATGTATCTACTGCCCAGTTTAGCTATCAGCAACTCTTAGTAAATCCTGTTTCCTCTGCCCTTACCACTACCCTCATCAGTGTATTTTGAAGCAAATCATTCAGGTGATGCTCTTAAGTGTGTAACAGTGCTTGGAACTAGTCAAAGCAAGTAAGTTATAAGCTGATATTTTTTGGGATCTGTTAAGACGACTAGTTACTTAGCATCAAGTCAAGGCATGTGATGATGAATAAATTTCAATAGGTAAGAATAAGAAGCAGGAAATAAGTTAGATCCCAAACTAGTTTTTTAAACTCAACCATGTAACACCATCATATACATCACCATCTCACAGAATCTTCAAGAGATGAATTACTGCGACAGAAATAACTAGCTGCCAATCCAGTACTTATTATCCTATGCCTTCCTCACAAAAGGACCCTAATATTGCTGGAGTCAACAATGGTTCCAACTTAAAAAATAATGAAACACAACAAAATATCCTGCTAAATTTCCCTGCCTCTCTTGCAGATGTGGTGGTCAATGACATGTAAACTGAAATCATGAGCTTCTAGCCCACTTTTGGCTTTGCCCTTTGTAGAATGCAGCCATAGGAACTGAGCTGCAGCAGCTCTTCTTAAACATCAGGTGACCTTGAGCATTGAAGTCAGTGCTGAAAATAATAGAGCCAAAAGATAAGAGAACATACTGAGGACATCATGGAGCTGTGATGCAGTCCCAGACAATGTGCTTCTGGGCTTCATGTCATAGAAGAGAAAATGAAACTGTCTTTATTTAAGCCACTGTTATTTCAAGTTTCTGTTACTAGCTACTAAACGTAATTTCTAACTGGCACAATCATCTAATTAGCATAAGTTATGTCATCCTTAGAAAACTTTCTCTGAATTTAGTTATCTCTAAAATCCAGTTACTGGGAAAAGCAGAACTGTGTCTCCCTCATAACTTGAGTCCAGAAGACATTTATAATATCTTCCCCTGGGCTGTCACTCAGTCAAGTTGTAAATATTTAGTTTTCTTAATCTGCCCTTCTGTATCAACTCTTTCTGTCCCTTAATCATCTTTGATAGATATAACACAAAAAAATGCCTCTGAGCTTGGTGGTTAAAAGCAATAGGGGAGGCAAACAGCTTTGAAAGCCAGGCTTGAAGCCATTTTTATGCATGTAGGTGTAACCCCGGGTGCAATGTGACAATCAAGACAAATGTTATTATGTAGAAGTCTAATCCGTGGTGTGGAGATGTGTGGGCCCCAGGCTTGTCTGTGGTATGCTTCCAGCGCTAGATGCAGATCCCATTTCCCTTTGGCTCACTGAGATTTGCTTAACCTCCTCAGACAGGAGAACAATAGACTGAGAAAAATACAAACTCAAATTCAACTCATGTTGAATACATAGTAGACATCTCATTTGAAAGGAATTCATAATCACCCCCTAACAACCTGGAAAAAGCACAGAAACCGTGACATGGAGGATAACTGATTGACAGCTATAACCATTTCACACAGAAAACCATTCCTTCGAGGATTTGTATGTGTGAAAGCTTGGTGGAAGGTTTTTATGTGTTACAATAACCTTAGAGTAGTGGCTTGAGCTTCTTGAGTATAGATTTTTTTCCTAAACCTTCTGATTTATTAAATTATAGCACAATATGCTATGAAAAACTATGAGGTTATTAGAAATTATATAGCAGAGAATACTTATAGAAAAAAATTTGATATAGCTTATTTTTAGTCATTGACATGCAGTTGAATCAAACAACTATTAAACTATGTACTATGTCATGCCTATCATTACCATAATAAGAAAATAGCTGTATATATATGAACTGAATAAAGATTGGATCTCATTGTACCAAAAATGTGAACTGTGTGACTAGATCATGCTTTATGTTTTCTGTACTTTTCAAATTTTCTTTAAAAAAATGTTTACTTTTAAATAAAAAAGATACTTAAAATCCAACCAAACATAAGAAAACATTCAAACATGGGTACTTTTAAAAATTTCAGCATGAACAGCAGGCAGGACAGGTACTAGAGCTGAACTGGGAGCCGACAGGCAGCAGGCCTAAACTTGTGGCTCCAGGATTGCTAAAAACATAGTCACTGTCCCCTGTAAAGTACCTCACTGGCAGAATGACTACATTGCAACTGGTATTATTAGAATTATTTCCACCTTTTAGATCTGAATTTTACATAGTCTTCATCTTCTGCTTATTACAAAAATTTAGTGAAGACATCATGTATTTTTGAGTGTCACAGACAATAGAATAATCACTGTGTTGAGAGGATGAAGAGAAACTCAGGGACTCAGGTCACTGCACTGAGATAATCTGACGTGGCCAAGAACAGAAAGAAGAACTAAAAACTTGCATGTGTTAAGTACCGAATCTCATATATACAGCCCCTTCATAACTAGCTGGCCAATAAGCTCACACAAAAGCCTACAAAACTGAATTAGACTGTTAAACCTGTTAAGCTTAATTTTTACCATACAATTTTTTTAATTTTTAAAGAGCTTGATCTGATGAGAATTTGAGAATTTTGCCAAGAGTGTTAAAGCCATTTAACTTAATTTTACCATACAATTATAATCTTTAAAGAGGTCTAGCTGACAAGAATTCATTTAAGAGAATTTGCCAGATATGCATAAAATTGTTTTTTTAAATAGTTTTGTTATCCACAAAAAGGAAGGCAAAAAAATCTGCATTTTCAGCAGACTAAATGAAATTATGAAAGAAACATCATAAATGGTTTCAAAGTGATTGATTTGCAGATCAGGGCCTTATCTGATCATATGACAAATACATTCAGACCTATTTCCCTCTCTCCCTGCCCCCATCCCCAAATCTACCACTGCTTCCTGTTGCTGAGCCAAAATCTGAGGTCAGTGCTCCAGGAGTTCAGGACACACTGCCTGAAGGGTGAGTTACCCTATGATCAGAACAGATTTGGGAGCCCTGAGGATTGGTTCTAATGACCAAGCAGGTGGACAGACTACTCCCCTTGTGGAGGGGGCAGTGTTGTGCTTACTCCTACCTGTAACAGACACTCTGGGTATGGAACTGCCTTCCTTGCCTGAAACATTTCTGTCACCACTGTCAGTAGATCCACTCAAGGTCTTAGTCACAATCATGGCATCCCATTCAACAATGTTTCTGACCAAGAAATT